AACGCCTACAGGCTACGGCACATTCTGTCACGGCTACGCAGGGTGGCAAGGGGCTGTCCCAAGGCTAAGGCTACTCGTACAGGCCCTACTCGTACAGGCCTACTCGTGCAGGCCTGCTGTAATCTGTGCAGCGCTGCATCTAACACTCTGCCTGCCAGCGGCCCACCACACACCCCGAGACCCTTGAGCCCGGAGGATGGAAGGATGATCACCTGAGTCGGTTTATCAGCATCCATTCTTGAAGCCTCGTCGCCGAGGACGGAGCATCTCACGTCGATCGGATGGAATGGAGAATTCCCCTTCGTACGGTAGTCGTGGCTAAGTAGTGTGGTATTGATAATACACTGCACGGTAAAAGACTCGCGCTTCTTCGATCGTCACACTAGACGATAATTGCTTCTGGTTACCATTGCACCATCCTGACTTCTTCCTTCTCTCCCTCCGTACACGGTACATATGACACATCTTACTCCCAACACACCGACCGACCACAGAGGCACACTGTTGGTTTTATTGCGAGTATCACGAGTCTGCACAGATTACACGCACACACATACACGCACGCACACACACACACACACACACACACTCTCTCTCTCTCTCTCTCCCCATCCCTATCCCCTATCCGTATAACGATACTATATTACAGTGCCGTACCGTGCTCACATCTGCACTCTCCACCCTAGCGCTACTGCAGGAGAGAGAGATGGAGATATGTCTGACCGTGATTCACTCCACATCCCTTTATCTCGTAAACCTGTACGAGCACTCCGTACCTTCTCTGCTACCTAGCACAGCACAGGATGCACACACACAAACGCACACACGAGGCACAACCACTCTCCTCTTGCCCCGTACACACACACGCGCGCACGCACGCACGCACACACGCACGGCCTCCCTATTAGGTGTGTGGGGGTGTGCAAACTGCATGTTGGGCTTTCTTTGAGCACAAAAGTCAATCACAGTGTGTGGAGACGGTCTACCTTGTCTCGGAGAGACTCGCTCATAGATAGATAGATAGAGAGAGAGAGAGAGGGAGAGGGATGAAGGGGAAAAAAAAAGACATAGTACCAATTCGACAGATCCAACAGTCGGTGATCTGACGGGGAAAAAAAAGAAAAGAAGAGAACGAAAAAGAAGAGAGAAAAAAAAGAGAAAGAAATACAACGGGTTGCATGAGAACGGTGCATTGTAACCCACACATCCTCTCACATCTACTGGTCCTTTTCCTCATATATATATATATATATATGTATGTATGTATGTATGTGTGTGTGTGTGTATGTGTGTGTATGTATGTATGTATGTATGTATGTATGTATGTGTGTGTGTGTGTGTCTGTATGTGCTTCTCCCTCCTTCTCTTCTCCCTCGTCCCTCTCCGCTCGCCCTCTACAAAGACGCCAGGCACCACTGCTGATGCCATGCACCCAAATGATCCATGATACATATACATACATAGCACCCGTACATGTATCTCTCCATGTGGCCATCTTGTATTGGAGACTGCCATGCTTGGTATGATGCGCGCGCTCTCTCCCTCTCTCCCTCTTTTTTTTCTTTTTCTTTCTTTTTTTCTTTCATCTATTTTCTCTGACCGACATGTTTCCAATCAGCCCTCTCTCTCACTGTCTCTAATCTATCCCTCTCTTCTCTCCCCCTCTCTCCCCGTAGTCTACGGAGCAGTCCCCGTCCCTTCTCAGCCCACCCAGTACGTCTACCAAACTTGGTGGATGGTGATACAGCTGAGTGGATCAGACCCTGCTCGCCCCCTTCCCTGCTCTCACATCTCGTATCCTGCCAAACTCTCTCCTCCCCTGCTCCGGATGCAGTGTCGCTCGAGAGATGCCAGTGTTTCCATCCCCATCACCAACCATTCCTTCACCGTACGCGTAGCCGCCGGCCGTCTGACCTGATCCGATCCACGGTAGAAGCTCTCGAGTCTCGTATTCAGAGAGGATGCAACCATTGTATTATGATACCATGGCAGAGGTATGCTGTACTATGATGGTAATATAGATATATATATGTTTGTCAATCCAGACTGGTCATCGACCCTCAGACGAGAGCGAGAAAGGAGTAAGAGAGTAAAGAGAGAAGAAGAGGAGAAGGGAGAAGGAAAAAAACACATGTCCAACTTTTTTTTAATATCCTCTTTTAGGTCCCAGTCCAACGCCTCGGGTAAGAGCGAGTCAATTACCTGCTGCGCGCAGATGCCCGGCAAACACAGAAAAAAGTCAGTAAAAAAAAAAAACAATTCGTGGTATCATGTCATGTCACAGTTACTAGGACGGGTCCAGTAGGAGAAGAGTAATCCTACGACAGTCCCTTCTCGGGGGGGTTTTTTTTAAAAAAAAAAAAAAAAAAGAAAAGAAAAGAAAACCATCTCGGACCCAGAGGCTCGTCGGAACCAGAAACCAAACAGAGGCTCGGATCAAGAGGCCCCCGGACCCAGGGACTGACCCGACACTTAGTGGCTGGCCTTCTCAACAGTGGGGAGCTCCTCGACGGCCTCGGCGATCATGCCGAGACCCTTCTTGAGCTCGGCCTCGGTGATGACGAGGGGAGGGGCGAAGCGGATGATGTCGCCGTGCGTGGGCTTGGCCAGGAGACCCTTGCTCTTGAGCAGGAGGCACAGGTCCCAGGCGGTGCGGCCAGAGGCGGCCGACTCGTCGATGACGATGGCGTTGAGGAGACCCTTTCCGCGGACCAGCTTGATTATAGGGGAGCCGATGGCCGTGATGCCGTCGCGGAACACCTTTCCCAGCTTCTCGGCCTTCTCCGTCATCTTCTCCTCCTCGATGAGCTCGAGGGCGCGGATGGACACGGCGCAGCCCAGGGGGTTGCCTCCGTAGGTGGAGCCGTGGGTGCCCGGCTCGACGACGAGCATGACGTCCTTGGAGCTGAGGACGCAGCTGACGGGGTACATGCCGCCCGAGATGGCCTTGCCGAGCGTGATCATGTCGGGCTTGATGCCGGCCCACTGAGAGCAGAGCATGCGGCCCGTGCGCGCAATGCCCGTCTGGATCTCATCGCAGATGAAGAGGACGTTGTGCTTCTTGCAGAGGGCCTGGACCTTCGGCAGGTAGTCGGCGTCGGGTACCACCACACCGGCCTCACCCTGGATGGGCTCGACGATGAAGGCGGCCGTGTCCTTGCCGTTCTTCTCCAGGACAGCCTCGAGGTCCTCGACGTTGTTGTAGCGGATCACCCGGCCAGTCTGGGGGCAGGCGGAGCCAATGTTGGGGACAAAGGGACCGTAGTTTTCCTTGGACTCAGGGTCGGTGGACAGGGTGACGGCAGTCATCTGGTGCGGAGTCAGCAAGCCAATCCTAGCTACGCATCTCCTCTTGCCCTAGCCCCACGCGTTGGGAGGAAGGGAGATCATCAGGGAGATGTACACGTATAACATATATATATATATATATATATATAGAGAGAGAGAGAGAGAGAGAGAGAGAGAGAGAGAAAACGTACCGTGCGTCCATGAAAGTTTTCAGAAGCGCAAAAGATGTAGGCCTTGTTAGCCTCGACACCCTTGACCTTGTAAGCCCACTTGCGGGCGATCTTGATGGCGGTCTCGACGGCCTCGGCACCCGTGTTCATGGGCAGGACCATGTCGTAGCCAAAGGTCTGACGGACCTTCTCGGCCCATCGGGGGAAGACGTCGTTATGAAAAGCGCGGGAGCTGAGGGTCAGACGGCTGGCCTGCTCGGTCAGGGCCTTGACCAGCTCGGGGTGACAGTGACCCTGGTTGACGGCGCTGTAAGCCGAGAGGAAGTCGAGGTACTGCTTACCCTCCGGGTCCCAGACGTTGACGCCCTGAGCGCGGGCGAAGACGACGGGCAGGGGGTGATAGTTGTGAGCAGCATACTCCTCCTCGATACGGACGGCGTCCGCGGAGGAGGCGACATGGAAGCGGTCCTGAGCAGACATGATGATGCTTCTTTTCGGCAGGGGAGATGTCAGCCTCTCTTGTTCAGTAGTAGCAGCAGCAGCAGCAGCAGCAGCAGCAGCAGCAGTAGTGGTAGTAGCAGCAGTAGTGGTAGTAGCAGCAGTAGTAGCAGTACAAATGAATGGAGGAAGGAGGTAGGGTAGAGAAGATAAGGGAGAAGGAAGGAATGGAATAAGGTGCAGGTAGCGGCGAAGCAAAGTCACGAGTCTGAGCGGTCGTACATATACATACCTCTCGGTGGTGGGGGATAGTAGTAGTAGTAGTAGCAGTACTCTCTCTTTAGTTACTAGCGTGGGGGCAGAAGGTTATATGATGGATGATACGGGGATGATAAGAATATCAAGTAAACAGATGGCCAGGAAGAAGGGGGGGAAATGAGAAGGAAGGGAAGAGGAAAAGAAGAGGATGAAAAAAAAAGAAAGGGATTCCACCCTTTCAAATACGTGGGGAGGTTGAGAGAGAGAGAAAATTCAGAATGAATAACCGCCTCCTCCTTTGGAGAGAGAGAAAAAAAAAACTGGTTGACGCTATACCCCTAAGTGCAAGTGCTGCCGGAACTCACCCCGCCCTGGCACGGAAGTTGTGAGGCTCCGCGCAGATATCCGTGGACCGTGGGGAGGAGGACCTGGAGTGTGGTTGGCGTTGGCGTTGGGTGGACGCCGCAGGTCAGCAGGGTCGGCAACCAACAAGCCAACCGCCATCAGCATGATGCACGGTACAGATATATCACAGGCACTCCGTATACAGGCAGCAGCAGGCATATCAGACGACAAAGGCTTCGCCCTGTCTCCTCCCAGCCCGTCCCTCAGGCTTCTAGAGTCTCTCCCCCAGACCGATGACCCGTTGACAGCCGCGCGCCAATCGCGTCACTGCCATTACGTACAAGAGCTGGCCTTCCAGAGCGGGGGGTTGGGGTTGGGGTCGGGGTTTAGACGTTACGGCGAGCTTGGACTGTGGCTCTGCCACTGCGGCCTACTGCCAGCAGAGCTTTGGAGTCCAGCACTCCCCAGCTTACCACAGCTCTCCGTCAGGGGCCGAAACTGCCGAGCAAGATGCCACTTGCGGAATAACCTCCCTGTCAACCTCAGTCCTATCGCGACGTCGAGGGAGGAGACCGTACCCGCCGAGGCCGGAAGAGGGGCGGATGCGGTTGGTTGAGCAGGTGGCCACTGGACGGTAGTGGAGAGAGAAAGTGGTCTGAGTCCGGAGCTGTCCAGGCAATATTGCTCCACGGTTGTAATAATATATACATAATACGGAGTACGGAGTACGGAGTACCACAGGGAGTGGCGCGAATACTGATAGTCTAATATACAGGTGCGTGGTGATGGAAATGATACGAGCAGCTGTTCGATGTTGTCATGAGGAATCGAAAGCGGCAGTGCCGCAGATGCTGTGGTCTCTGCAATAATGATACCGATCCCCAGCTCCGTGAGATGTTGTGTGGTGTTTTGTTGAACGAGAGAGGAAAGAAGGAGGAACGGTTATGTACGGCATATGCTTGCTGTGTTCAGATACGGCAAGTACGGCCCAGCACAGCACCTGCTGCCACCACCACCTAAATCTTGACACGTGAGCTACGTCTTTTTTTTTTAAAAAAAAAAAAAGAAAAAAGAAAAAAGAAAAAGAAAACGTCATACCTAATCTGGCGATCTATTGTTGGGGGGGG